ATTTCATGCAACATAGATTGTGTTCTCGTTTGGCACAGCACGAAATGATGTTGTATGATATATGTCATCTAATCCTCACATCTGGCTATTGAACGCTGTTTAAACCATTTTAATTTTTACTCAACTTGATCCTTATGTCCTTATAAATAAGTGTACTTGGCAGCATTTCATTTCAACCAAATGCCAAACATAAATTTGTAGAATACTGATTACCACTTAGGCCCAAATGTTAGGATTGGCTATTACCCTCAGGGTGCCCTGTGTGGCAGCCTGGCAATCCATTTGTCCATTACCCCATCCCTTTCTTCGCTGGCCTCTGCCTCGTCAAGAAGCTGAGCTACTGATCTAGCAACCTTCCCAACATCAGCCCCTTTATTTAGAAGAAGTTCTTCCCCAGCATCATTAATGAGCCACCAATGCAAGGAAACATCTGGCTCGTTGAGTGGTGACTGTTTGCTTTTAATTTGCTCAGCAATGACATCGACCTTAACCAGGAGTTCAACATCTTGACTCTCGAGTGCTTCCGAACGAAGGATCATGGAAGCCTTTATAGCTGCCCTCCACACCCCGTTCTGTGCACACCTAAGGAGGTGGTCATAGGTGACAGGCTCTCCATTTGTACTTGCTGTGGAGGAAGGAGATTCTGAACGTGAGCAAGAGTCATGTTCATTCTTGACAGTGAGATAGCTGACACCGTTGTTCTTCTCCCTCAATCCTGACTGCCCTTTAATTGGACTGCTTTGGGGTGTTGGGTTAATCACCTTAATCGGTGGAATAGATGCCATTCTTGGGGATCGGTCCATCGTTCCACCCTTTGGCTTTGCCAGAATATTGTCCCCATTTTGCAGCAAAGGATCAATGGGAAGAATGGTGGTACTCATGCTATTCCCGCTTTGGGGCATCGGATTAAATTGCGTGATGGCCACTGCAGGAGAGGCACTGCATCCTCCCTCTCTGGAGATGCTTCTTCTGTTTTGCGGCTTCAGATTGAAGTGAGGCATGATGTGCAATGCCCCAATCTTCAGGGCCTCGTCCTTGCTTTGTGGCATCAGATCGAAGCGAGGGGTGCTGGGTGCTGTGTAAGATTCTTCCATCATCAGGACCTCGTTCTCACTCTGCGTTGTCAGATCAAAGTGAGGGATTGTGTAAGATCCTCCAATTGTCAAGACCTCGTTCTCACTTTGAGGCAAAAAATCGAAGCGAGGGATGGTGGTCATTGTGTGGGATCCTCCAATCTTCGGGACCTCATTCTCATTGTGCGGCATAAGATCGAAGCAAGGGGTGGTCGTTGTTGTGTGAAATCTCTCAATTTCCGGCACCTCGTTCCCACCTTGCTGCATCAGATGACAGTGCGGGAGGATGGATGTGTGGGACTTGCCAGCTGTTACCGGCAAAACCAATCTGTCTGATTCATGCAGCTGCTCGCTAGGGGTCTCTGGAATGGTTGTTTCGCTTGCCTGACTAGTCCCAGCTGTCGTTTCCGGCATTGTTTTCACTACATGGTTGCTTGCGACTGGGACCTTCTGTCCAGGCTTAGCTCTCACCTGTTTAGGCTTACTTGATATCCTCTTTGACCTAGTCCTCGTCTGTTTGGGGCTTGTGTCATATCCATTCCCGGCCATCGACTTCCGGGCTCTCCGACCCCTCCGTTCTAACTCCGCTCCCCCCTCACCAACCTCGGAGCCCCCGTATTCCGCAAACCTCTCGGTACCCCTCGATGGTCACCACCCCCTCATTTCAATTTATTACCTACGCCTCCCTAAGTACGGAGCCCCGAAGACTTCCGGACAGCTCCGACGTCCGCTAGCGCACTCCCGCCTCCGCTGGGCAATACACTCGCCTGCCCTGCAGAGTCCACCTTCGGGCCTATCCCTCCTTTCCGTTTCTGGGTTAACGCCTGCCTTTCCGCTAACCCCGCGAACCGACTCGTCGGTAATATTCAGTCGGCTAATGTCTTAACCCCATTAGCTCCGCTCCGTCCGGCTCCGCCAATTGCGGAACCGTCTCCGCTGTAACCATATATATACACTACTTGTACATAGGTTACGCCCCAGCAGATAAATCAACTAGAGTTACCCCCACTAGTTTCTAAGTGCCAGTCAGTAAGTTAGGGCACGGACGTGTCACTAGGCACAGCGCTCCTGGCAGAAGTCGCTGAGGCCAAAGCCCTCCGTTACGGAGACATTCCTTCGTCTTAAATCTGGTCTCTGACAGCTTGGATGACTTGATGTCCCCTGGTCATTGGCACTAGTCGCTTCTGGCAAGTCTGCCTTGCATTTTTCTGGACGTCCTGCTCGAGTGCTGATGGCCACTGTCTTGGCCACTGCCCTGCATACCTGATCTTCGGGCAATACATAAGATCGAACCTCACCCTTTGGGTCTGGAGCCCAGTGCACTACCTCATGTTCCATATATTCCTCTGGACAACGGTACCTCAGCTCTAACCTTCAAACATTTACTGATATACCCTTACCTTCGGTCATGGTCTCAACTCTCAACCTCTGGGCTGGAATGGTGTGAGAGAGTTGCAACAAGCAATGGGCAGTTTCACATGGCGTCCAATTGGACAGCAGTGACTTATCCAAGCATGGTACTCCACGATGCCACCCAGCAAATCGAAGGCAATGCTTGAGTAAGTGTTGGAATACGAGTCACATGATGAAACTGAACCGGAATATCCGAGAATATTCTACGGGTCACTAGGTGCCTGTGTAAGCGCTGGGCATAGAAGAGCCTGGAATATTGTTGGGAAGTATAAATATGGGCGCTGGAGCGCCATGTGTATTTTTGTTATATTTCTTTCTATATTACATCTGGGTTGCGAGTGAACCGCTGAAGCGGGTTACCATATTTGGAACACCGGATTTACAACAGGTTATGAGCCCAGCCCGGGTCTAACCGGATTACTCTATTCACTTGACGTTGCCTCATCTGATCGCTACACTTACATAATATGGCAGAAACTGAGGACACAACTCCAAACTATAACTCCCTGGTGGGACAAGTGCCGAAATTGACCAAGGATAATTACTATGATTGGAAATTCGGTGTCTCCCTTGTACTCTGGAGGGCTGGCTGTTGGGACATAATTCAGAAAGGGAAAAATAAAAGCGAAGACTGGAAAATCCCAAAGAATGCCCAAAACAAGGCCGACGAAGCTCTTACCATAATTGGGCTGACCATAGACCTGTCACAATACAAGTTGATCAGCCATCGCAAAAATGGTGTCGAGGCCTGGTACAAATTGGCAGGACACTATGAAAAGAACTCCAGGGCCAATAGAATTCGATTGACGCAGGCATTTTATAACTTCAAACACGATCCCGAAAAGCCGATTGACAATTATATTAATGGGCTCGAATCGATCTGGAACCAAATGCGTGGAATCGGAATAAATGTCGGTGATTCGGATCTGGCCGATGCATTGATCATGTGCTTGAACCTGAAGTTCAATGCCATTTCGGCTTCTTTGACTTCCCATGACACTGAGCCATCTTCGGAAGCAGTGATGGGTATTCTCAGGGATGAGGCAAGGATGGGGACATATGGAGAAGAGGGTGCCCCCCCAGGAGCATTTATTGAAGGGGAAAGCAGGCTAGAGCAGAGCCGGTTTGTTGGAATTGCCAAAAGAAGGGGCATTACCGGCATAATTGCCGAGAGAATAAGGAAACCCAAAATAGAAACGAGGCCATCTTGATGATGAATTACTCTTACTAAATTGGGAACAGAAGGATCTGAACGCTGTCAGGACTGTATAGGATGGGAAAATATCGGAGGACGAGAACGTGATCGATTCCGGGTGCTTCGAATTTGTCATACAGGGCAGGTTTCTGGATCAAGAAAATTGTCAGAAGGGGTATGTGACTCAAGGGGGAATGTTGGAATACGAGTCACATGATGAAACTGAACCGGAATATCTGAGAATATTCTACGGGTCACTAGGTGCCTGCATAAGCGCTGGGCATAGAAGAGCCTGGAATATTGTTGGGAAGTATAAATATGGGCGCTGGAGCGCCATGTGTATTTTCGTTATATTTCTTTCTATATTACATCTGGGTTGTGAGTGAACCACTGAAGCAGGTTACCATATTTGGAATGCCGGATTTACAACAGTAAGAGGGGGAGAATGTTGGCACTCTTCCAGTTGTCCTGCACCTCGTCAGCTGAGCCCACTTTATCACCTAGCGTGTATGTCAGTCAGTGATCACCCAGGCTCAACCTGAAGACATACTGATTAACATCCAGAGTTGTTTAGCACACAACTTGCGGTGCTCTGTGGGCTTACCAAACTCCTTGTCGATTTCAATAGCGAAGCCATCCTCGTTTTTCATCACTGGTGTATAAAAGTCCACATTATCCTCATCTATAGCCCTCAGCTTCATGCATACATCACTGCCAGCTGGATGCCTCTCTAAGTCATCATTATTGCCATTTGAAAAATTCGAGGCAAACTCCGAAATTCAAAATTCCGCAAAATCTTTTGCATCACTGCTCACTCAAAACTCGACCGATTTTGGCGATTCGACATGCATTGGAAAGCGTCCGAGTAGCGCTTCATGATTGTTTGGATGGCGCAGCAATATGAGAAGATTTTTTCTTGCTGATTTGCACATGAATGGTGGAATAGTATCGTGATTTGAGTGCAACGTTGTGCACGCATGTCCTTTATTTAGAGCTTTCTGAACATCACAACATTAATATTAGATTATGGAGGCAATGGACATGACATTAGCACTGGGGATGAGTCTGAAGTACAGCCACCAAAATGCGCGACAAATTGGTAAATCATCTGAGTTCGGATTCTCACAACTGTACAGTTCCACCTCTCTTCTTACTCCCATCTACATGTCCACATGATCACAACAAGAGGAATGCGACAGGCAGCGGATGCGCCACCACTGAGCGAATCTGATCCCACCGCCACTCACACAGTAGTGACTGTGGCTAAGCCCATGGTGAATCAGAAACAACGTGGTAGGCGTCGAAAAGTGGCTTCAGAAATGCCACCACCTGAGATCGTCAACCCCCTTCCTGTGGGCCTGGCGGTTGAGGAACCAAGTGAGCCCCAGGTTGTTTCCTCAGTTCCTGCCCTTGTTTCCCCCATTCTCGCCCCCATTTCTCCTATTCTCGCCTCTGCCGCTGACCCTCCTGTCGTGAGGAAGACCAGAAAGTCGCGCACTAAAGCCAAGGCAATTGAGGCTGACCAAACAGAGCAGATCAGCATTCCAGAGTACACAATTGCGGTCGCGAATGCGCGAATAATTCAAGAAATGCCCAAGGCACCCAGCGGTCCTGCCACTTTGGGTGCAGTTAACCCAAAAGAAGTTATAAATGTCAAGCACGAGAACAAAAAGCTGCAAGTTGCAGCAAAAGTTTCCGCAGTCATTCCTGACTCCGACTATGCGATGATGAGTGAACTTGAAGATCTGTCTAGTGATGAATCTGAGATCACTGGTGCACTGGGTGCAGACGATGCTCCAGCGCTAGTCCAAGAGGAGGCAGTTGAAGGTGAGTGCCAACTCTCATTCCTCACCCTGCTGAGACTGGTGTCATTCGTGTTTACCTACTCCTATAGACTACATTATAGACTTCGAAGTTGAGACTGATGATGTTGTCAAACTTCTTCAACTACCCATATCTATGTCATGGTGGACATTCCAGGATCAGATTGCTGAGACAATGGGCTGCCATGAGACCCAGCTACGCTTGGGCTATAGGCTCAGCACTGCAAGAGCGGGAGAGAAGGCACACAGCCTTGAGACACCGGACGAGTATTCTGAAATGCAACAAGAAATAGTCTCGGAACGCGAGAAACGGGTGGTCCTCCAGAAAAAGGTGTCCAAGATGAAGCCTCCGAAGGCATTGAAAGTATTGATCAAGGACAGGCGAAATAAGGCTGAAAAAAAGGTGTGAGAGTAGATAGATGTTCAAGAATCTCATGCAACGCTAATGCTAACGATTTTATAAGACCATCGCAAAACCAAAAACTGCCTCAAAAACTTCTTGTGCTAAGCTCAATAATAGTGCCGATCCAGACTTGGTCGAGTCCACATTGGCAACGTATATGTGGCAACTCACAAACAAATATGGCAACTGTAATCAACATGGAGGGGAATCCTGTTTTGTCCGGCCTGATGGGACTCATCGGCACTTGACCATTGCAGAGCTCACTTTGTGGGAAATTTCCATCGTAAGTCTGATATTGGTTTGCTTGCTATGTAAAACTTATGAATACATAGGAATTGCACTGTGCAACCCTCTCAGTTCCTCCTGACTCGCTCAAACTTTCAAGTGAGAATGATACTCGTCTGCCCAAACCCAGCAAGTCTAAACAAACACCTGGTGCGACATCTGGTTATCCTCCACCACCAATTCCAGGTGCCATGTGGCCATATCCCACAGGATTTGCGCCGTTCAATACCGCTGTGCCTCAGGCATATGCAAGTCACGACACAGGTGTAAATCCCGGTGCAATTCCAATCCATCAGTTTGCATTTTAGGATGATCTCATGTGTTGCTCACTGTTGCTTCTGTTTATAGCACTAAATTTACGCTACATGTCAATTGAAAGACTCCTTGAAGTGCTTGATGAAGAAGAACTGCCGCCAAAATCTCACCTCGCGATGAAGTACAAAGAGCAGTTTGCATCACATGGCTTTCGCACCATCTATGATTTGACTGATACCGATTATCTCAGCCCCAAAGTACTCAGTGAACTCCTTGAGCCTAAACCCCCCTTTGCGACCTGTGTACACATTATAAGGCATGTGAAGGATGAAGTACAACACACTCAAGATGCTTATTTGTCTGGTGATAGGTCGGTTCTCATCTAGTACTTGATTTCACAACCGCTTCACACCCTCAGTTCCCCATTCACACTCTTTTCCCATGCAAATATATACCTTTCATGTAAATACCTTGCATTTCTCATTTAGTTCATGCTCCCCAGGTGGCGGATGATGTTTAGTAATTATGACCGATCACGTGTTACAAGCCTTGCCTGTGCACTGTCACAAGCAAGGGGACATCGGAGCCACAACTCCACACCACCTCAGCCATCATCCTCCATTTCACATCATGTATCACACAGGCCCTGATGGGATGGGCGATAGCCTTCATGGCCGTGAGTTCGGAGGTGCCACACAGGCGGGTTCATCAATAGCTCATGCCTGCTCATCCTCCATAGCATCGACCAGCTCCTGTCACCACTTGAAAGGCTACCAGACCCCGTCCTCTTCATCGCTAAACCTAACTAGCTATTTAATGTTGCGAAACCGGTCTCATACCCCAGATCCTCTTCCCTTAGCCACGTCACCCACCTTGTCGACATTTTCAAGTCCATCTCACATGGCGGTTAGCTTTGCAACCTCATCCCACCCATTGATTACCCCTCCCCCTACGTCTCTGCCTCGCCCTCGTAGGCATTTGTGCAAGAAGTCGCGTCCACAAGATTTCGACCCCAATGCTGCGAATTCCTATTCTGGCGATTCGTCGGGATTGTGCTCATACACTCCCTTCAGCTGTGTCGATGAAGATCAAGATCAACCGTTATTCGATGATATTCCTGAGGAGCGTGTATTGGGTACCATCACTCCATTACCGGTGCGAATAAAGTCTCCGAGTCCCCGACTGATGTCCAACAATTCCCCTGCTGCTTTTCCGGTTCCAACGCCATCATCTCCACTGACAAAAGCCCCATTGCTTTCCCGTATCAGCTCCGTGAAATGTTGGCGATCGCGCTGATCTTCTCAGACCAGCAAAGATTTCGCTGGAGACATTTCTGTCAATTCCGGTACCAGCATCCCTTACCAACCACCTAAAACACCAGAGCCATCTTTCTCACGAGCTGTCACCCCAGTGTCGCCTTCAACGAGCCGAAATTGGCTTTTTAGGACTACTCCTAGCCCCAACTCAAAGCCAACACCAGATCCCGGGCCCCATCTCAGCAACAGCAACAGTGCATATCCCACGTCCCATTTCAGGAAGCAGAGCTCAACCACTGCCGGTTTCATGATCTCGAAACTGGCACATGCGTCTACATGAACCGTATCAATGGCGAAACTGTCTTCGTTACTGCAGAACATGAGGCCACTAACAGTATTATCGGGGTTAATAAGCAGGGCCCAGTGTTGAGTGTGAGCGCTGATGAGCAGACCGTCATCCCTTACATTCTTACCGTTCTGAACAACACCGAGCTGGCGGTCAAATTAGCTAGCCAGGCAAATTTACCTGGTGCTGACGAGCTGTATGTTCAGCAGTATCAGCAGCTTTTCGCCTCTGGCCAATATAGTGAAGCTGCCAAGATTGCGGCCAATTCACCAAGAGTGAGCGATAATTCGACACTCTTATGTTGTTACACACTGACGATTGCTCTCAGGGCATTCTTCGTACACCGCAAACCATAGAGCAATTCAAGCAAGTTCCTGTTCAACCAGGCACTCTTTCGCCCATATTTCAGTACTTTGGTATTTTACTTGAGAAAGGCAAGCTTAACAAGCATGAGTCACTTGAATTGGCGCACCCTGTTCTTGCCCAGGGCCGTAAGCAACTGCTTGAGAAATGGCTCAAAGAGAACAAGGTAACAACTCCTCATCTAGCATGAGCATAGAGGTTGACCACATAAATTGCTCCAGCTTGAATGCACAGAAGAACTTGGCGACATTGTTCGCTTACATGACATGACCCTCGCTCTCTCAGTATATCTTTGCACCAACGTCCCCAATAAGGTTGTCGCATGCTTCACCGAGACAGGCCAATTCGACAAGATTCTATTGTACACAAAGTGTCATATCCATTCCTGGCCATCGACTTCCGGTCCCTCCGATCCCTCCGGCCTACCTCCGCTCCTTCTTTACTAACCTCGGAGCTCCTGTATTCCGCAATCCTCTCAGTACCCCTCGATGGTCACCACCCCCTCCTTTCAATTTATTACCAATGCCTCCCTAAGTACAGAGCCCCAAAGACTTCCGGACAGCTCCGACATCCGCTAGCGCACTCCCACCTCCGCTGGGCAATACACTTGCCTGCCCTGCAGAGCCCACCTTTGGGCCCCTCCCTCCTTTCTGTTAACCCCGCAACCCGACTCGTCGGTAATATTCAGTCGGCTAATGTTTAACCCCGTTAGCTCCGCTCCGTTCGGCTCCGCCATTTGCGGACCCGTCTTTGCTGTAACCATATATATATCTCCAGCTTGTACATAGGTTACACCTCAGTAATAAAATCGACTAGAGTTACCCCCTTCAGTTCTGGTTGCCAGTTAGTAAGTTAGGGCACGGATGTGTTACTAGGCACAGCGCTCTTGGCATAAGTCGCTGAGGCCAAAGCCCTCCGCCACGGAGACTTTCCTTCATCTCGAACCTGGTCTCTGACACAAAGAAAGTCAGCTACCACCCTGATTATGCGGCGCTTCTTCAGCACATTATGCGAGCGAACCCTGAGAAGGGTGCCGAGTTTGCAGCCCAGCTCATAAACGATGAGAATGGGCCCCTTGTAGATATCGAACACATCATAGACATCTTCATGTCACAGAACCTTATTCAACCCACCACGTCCTTCCTCCTCGACGCCCTCAAAGATAATAAACCTGAGCAGGGTCATCTTCAGACTCGTCTCCTTGAGATGAATTTAGTTCATGCTCCCCAGGTGGCAGATGCAATTCTCAGAAATGAGATGCTCAGCCATTACGACCGACCACATATTGCCAACTTGTTGTCAGGGCACACCCGCCTGACCCGGGCCCACCCGGGCCCACCCGGCCACACCACACCCGCTCCCCGCTGTCTATCCCCCTCCCCCCTCCTTCCTCCCTCTCCTCCCCCCTCTTTTCCCTTTTCTTTCCCCTTTCTTTATTTCATTCTTCTCATCCTCCTCTTCCTGTTTATTTCTTTCTATCTACACGGACCACCTTCCCTTGTATCGATGTACTATTGACCCGTCCGGCCCACACACCCCGGACGGCTTCCCGCGGTGCCCAGCACGCGCGCATGTAGTGGACGCTCTCGGGATCCCCCACGGGGACACCCGGATGCCTGCGGCTGCCTCCGAGGATGACGTGGCACCTGTCATGTGACTCAAGCCGCATGTACATAAATGTACCTGAAGTGGGAACCGAAGAAGTAACCTTCTTCTCACATTCTCCACTTCAGGTAAGTAGTATAGTTTTCCTCTTTAATAATAATAACACATTCTCCACTTCAGTCTGAGTGGCCAGGGACCACTGTCCTGGATCGGGCCCGCCAGTACGCACGCCCGCTCCACACCCCGCGACGGCCTCAGTGCCGGGCATTACCCCCGGGCCCTCTCGACCCCGGACGCGTCCCTGACAGCAGAAGAAGGTTTTAACCTTATTTCCCCCGCCTCACCCATCTCCCCAGCCATGGTGTCAGAAGAACAGTATGACGACCTGCTGGCCCGCTTCCAGGAGCTCCAAGCCATTGTGGAGAGCCAAACCCGCAACCACCCCCCACCCGCACCTGCACCTGCACCCGCCCCTGCACCCGCGCCCGTACCCACACTCGCGCCCAGACCCAAACCACCGAAGGTCGCTGCCCCCACTCCCTTCTCAGGAGCCAGTGAAGACCTCGATCGCTTCAAAGCCGAGTGCGGGATCTACTTCCATGTCCGCGCAGCCGAGTTCCCTACCGAACTATCCCAGATCCTCTTCATCCTCTCCTACATGAAGGGAGGACCCGCAGGGGCGTGGGCGACACAACGGACGATCACCCTGTTGACAGCCACCTCCCCCACCATAACCATGGACGAGTTCAACACGGAACTCGATGCCATGTTCCAAGACCCGAACCGGGAGGCCACAGCTCGGCAGAAGTTGGCAGCCATCCGCCAAGGGACTGACTCCGTGGATAAGGTCATCCAGGAGTTCGAGATATTGGGACCCACCTCGAGGCTAGGCGATGTCGGGCTGGTCGACCGGTTTGAGCAAGCGATTAACTCGCGGCTCAGGGAGAGTATATACCGCCTCCGCCCCATGCCCACCACTTGGACTGAGTGGAAGCGCGAAGCCACGCTTCTGGACAACCAGTGGCGACGTTTCCAAGCCACCCAACCACGCGCACCCCCACCTAGACCCCCATTCCCGCCAGCCCGACCTCCGCTGACCGTGACCCCATCCCAGACCCGACCCGCGCAGAACCCCCCACGACCTGCTCCAGCACCTCCGCCCCCCACCCCAGCAGCCCGTCCTACACCAGGGACGGGCCCCCAGCCGATGGATCTCGACAGGTCGAGGACTGACCAGAGACGGTGCTACAACTGTAACACCCCGGGTCATCTCGCGCGAGAATGCCCACACCCCAGGGTCAGCCGAGTACGACGTCTCCACCCGGAAGACCTGAGGACGTTGATGGAAGGGCTGAAGAGGCAGTTGACCGAAGGGACAGAGACGGTGGAGGGGGAACCAGAGGAAGAACCTCAGAGGGGTTTTCAGGCAGGCGACCGGTAAAGGATGCGTCCCGGCCGCCCGTAGAAGATAGCTCGTGTACATACCGCAGCGCGCGTAAGCCAACGCCAATGCCAAAGTTTCACCGAGTCATCACGAAGAAAAAGAGGAGAAACGCATCCTCCACCCGTGAGAACGAGAAGACCCCAAGGGCAGCAACGCCCAAGGTAGCAGTCTCCCCCCCACCATTTACGTCCTTTCCAAGCAGTCCCCCAGATCTCTTAACCTCACAGTGAAACTGACCGCCCTAACCTCCCTCGCGTCGGTATCTGTGTCAGCCCTCCTGGACTCAGGAGCCACCGGGAACTTCGTAAGCCCCGAGTTCGTCCGAAAGCACAACCTAGAGACAACCCCCCTTCCCCAACCCATTCCCGTCCGTAATGTCGATGGAACCCCGAACGAAAATGGAGCTATAACAGAAGAGCTAGAAGCCCTCCTGACCTTCGGGCGACACACAGAGCGGGCACGCTTCGCGGTTGCAAATCTCGGGCGCCAGTCCCTCATCATAGGACACTCGTGGTTGCTGCACCACAACCCAGAAGTGGACTGGGTACGACAGAGAGTCGTCATGTCCCACTGCCCGTCCTCCTGCAGACAACCGCGAATACAAAATGATCAGGACCCGGTACTGGAGCCTGGGGATGGGATCTACGCTGCCATCATTCCCCCAAGCTGGGGCCATGACCTGAGAGCCACCACGACCCCCTCGCAGCGGATGGCCCAAGAGGCCCGCGACCCGGAGGCTGAGCCCGCGTCGTTTGAGACACTAGTACCAGAGCACTACCAGGACTTCCGGGATGTGTTCTCCAAAGAAGCCTTTGACCAATTGCCCCCCCGGAAGCCCTGGGACCACGCTATAGACCTGGTACCGGACACCAAACTGCCCAGGGGGAAGACCTTCCCACTCTCGCGTCCGGAACAGAAAGAACTAGACGAGTTCCTACGCGAGAACCTACAGAACGGGCACATACGGCCGTCCAAATCCCCCATGGGAGCACCAGTCTTCTTCGTCAAGAAGAAGGACGGGTCCCTACGCCTGGTCCAGGACTACAGGAAGCTGAATGAGATTACGGTGAAGAACTCGTACCCGCTCCCCCTCATCTCAGACGTCCTCGCCCGCCTCCGCAACGCCAAATACTTCTCAGCCTTGGACCTACGCTGGGGGTTTAACAACGTCTGGATCAAGGACGGAGACGAGTGGAAGGCGGCATTCGCGACCAACCGGGGGCTGTTCGAGCCCATGGTGATGTTTTTCGGCCTGTGTAACTCCCCGGCAACCTTCCAGACCATGATGAACGACATCCTGAGGGATTTCATCGACCAGGAGGTTGTCATCTGTTACATGGACGACATCCTGATCTTCACGGCCACCCTGGAGGAACACCGAAGGGTCGTCCGAGAAGTCCTAGAGACGCTGAGGAGAAGGAGGCTCTTCCTCAAGCCAGAGAAGTGTAAGTTTGAGCGAACCCGGATCGAGTACCTGGGCCTCGTTATCTCGGAGGGTAACGTCGCGATGGACCTGGTGAAGATCCAGGGTGTCCTCGACTGGCCCCCCCCAACCAAGGTGAAAGAAGTACAATCCTTCCTAGGATTTGTAAACTTCTATCGCCGGTTCATCAGAGACTTCTCTGAGAAGGCCCGCCCCCTTCACAGGCTGACCCGGAAGACCCAAACCTGGAACTGGGGCCCGGATGAAGACGATGCCTTCCGTGCCCTCAAGGAAGCCGTCACCACAGCCCCTGTCCTCTCTTTCCCTACCGACCACGGCCGCTTCAGGCTCGAATGCGACGCATCCAACTTTGCAACCGGTGCAGTCCTCTCCCAGCTCCAACCGGATGGAGAGTTCCACCCGGTAGCGTTCATGTCCAAAAGTTTCACGGATGTAGAGCGCAACTACGAAGTGTACGATAAAGAGATGCTTGCAATCGTCCGAGCCCTCGAGGAATGGCGACACTTCGTGGAAGGTGCTGAGGAGAAAGTCGAGATCTACACCGACCACCGTAACCTGGGCTACTTCCGGACGGCCCAGAGGTTAAATCGACGCCAGGCCAGATGGTCCCTTTTCCTCTCCCGCTTCCATTTCACCCTCATCCACCGCCCAGGGAAGCTCATGGGGAAACCAGACGCACTCTCCCGCCGCGCTGACCACCCGAAGGGAAGGGACGACAATGAGGGGCTGACCCTCCTCCAACCGGCCTGGTTCGAGGCCCGTGCGACGGAAGCAGTCTCAGTGGAGGGTGAGGAGGCGGATATCCTAGAGAGGGTACGAGGAGCGAGAGATCATGACGAACAGGTGGTAAAGGCCATGAGGGAACTGGGAGAAGGAACGTTGAGGTCGGACGAGTGGGAGAGACAGGGAGAGTTGGTCCTCTACCGGGGCAGGGTGTACGTTCCAAAAGACCC